TTTAGATCTTGAAGTGACCTCAGAGGTCATTAAGTATAACCACATATGTATGTATATATAAATACACACATATGTATATATTGTAATGAATGAAAAACCTGAGAGACAGAGTTTCTGAGTAATTAATAATCAATTTATTAATTAGGCCAGCTAATAATAAATTGATCATCAGTGGTTTTTCTTGGTAACCAAAGACAAACCCTTGGAGACACCAAATGCCTTCAATACCTTTGTAAAAGGGAATGCCTCTGACAAGTGAAAATAAACCCTGACTGGTGGATATTTAATGAAGAACCTGGCTAGGCATCTTCAGCTCCTCCTATTGAGAACTGTGAGTTGATAATGAGACTCAGCCATCTCCAACAATTTGGTCAGGGGAATCCAACTCCATTTAGACCACTCTGGTTGAAACCAACCATGAGCTAGGTCATTCTAAACTCTGACGAAGGGGTACAAGGACAAGGAATCATTTCCGAGGAGTCAGATCTAGCCCCAACTGAATTCTGTTTGCACTCTAAACAGAAGTTAGGTCTCCTAGTTGGGTGGGGTCCTGTCCAAGATTGAAGAGTATGTTCCTTGAGAGCTAGGACTATCTCATTAATCACTCATGTCTTTCAGAGACAGAATTTTTACAGGGGCAGGGCCTTAAATGAAGAAATAAAGGAGAAAAGCCTGGAAGCCAAATTAATAATTGGTTATTATCATAATAGTAAAGTAATTTTCTCAATATTAACTTTGCTTTAACACCTTCTTATTTAAAATATGTATATTGCAATATGTTTAGTCGTTTTTTCATTCATGTCCAACTCTTTGCGACCTATTTTGGGGTTTTCTTGGCAGAGATACTGGAATTGTTTGCCATTTCCTTCTTCAGCTCATTTTACAGTTGAGGAAACTGAGGCAAGCAGGATTAAGTGACTTGCCCAGGGTGTGAGTGTCTGAAGCCAGATTTGAACTCAGGAACATGTGTCTTCCTGACTCCAGGCCTGGAACTCTATCCACTGCACTACCTAGGTGGTCCCCAAATCCAGGTAACCAAGGCTAAAGTTTTGTACTTCAGTCACCTTGACTTCAGTTCTTCATTTGATTATTTTTTAGTAAGAATCAAATAGGAGCTTGGGACCACAACTCTTGGCATTTTGACAGTGTCCAGTTATATAATCATTTCAAGTCTTCCCTCAGACTCAGAGACCCTAGCCAAATCACTTCAAATCCTAGGGCCCCTAGACAGGCCTCTGTAGGAGCATAAATTACATGATCTATTTGCAATGGAAGAGGAAGATTCTTCTGCCAGTGAACCCTCAAGGTTGGATTGCCCACTTCCCCCTTGGAAAAAAAAAAAAAGACTTGACATTTATCTAGAGCTTTTCATATATAATCATATGTTTTCAAAGTCCCACAGTAACCCAATTGTGCAGGTAGTATTATCTCCAGTTTACAAATGAGGCATCTGAGACTAGAAGAGTTTTCAATATGCTAGAGGCAGTATCTGGATCTAAGTGACCCTGACCCCAAACCTAGCATACATATACTACATTGCATTACCATCTCTGGGTAGAGAATGGAACCAATTCTTTTGAACCACTTCTGGGGTTGTTGTTATGGCAGAGCTCGTGCTATCTAAAGATGCCAAACCTAGCTCTGAGGAAATTAAAAAAAAGAAAAAAAGAAGAAGATTTCATGGGCTCTTACACAGAAATAGATTATTTAACTTAGGAGTCTGGCTCTGTTCCAACATAAGCTTTTGCCTAAAATTGTGCCCTATGATTTGAGATGTTTTTCTTTTCTTTTCCTTCTTTGAAACCATCCAGCAGCAGAAGCTGGGTGACCACTTGTAAGATATGTTGTAATGGAGAATCCTTTTCTATAGTAGCTTGAACTAAATGAACACTAGGTCCCTCCTAGCCCTGAAATTTGTGAGATCCTTAACTGCAAGTCTATATTTAAAGAAGCTAAGTGGTAAAGTGGTTAGAGTGCCAGGCCTGGAGTCAGAGAGACTTATCTTCCTGAGTTCAAATCTGACCTCAGACATTTACTAGCTGTGTGACCCCAGGCAAGTCACTTGACCCTGTTTGCCTCAATTTCCTCATCTGTAAAATGAGTTGGAGAAAGATAGAGAAAACCACTCCAATATCTTTGCCAAGAAAATCCCAATGGAGCCATGAAAAGTCAGACACGACTGCAAAATGACTATACAACAAACACTAACTGCATGTCAAACAAGTGAACTGCACTGTGCCATCAGTGGCTGGGAATGGACCCTCTGTTCCAACACAGATGGGCTGTCTTAACAACAGGTACATGATGTCAGTCCTTCAAGTGCTTTGGGCTGAAAGGTATCATAGAAAGAGGAAATTATTATTGTTGGTTATCACACCCTAAAAATAAGGATTTGCCATCTAAATGGCTACTGAATCTTAACTGTAAAATGCCTTATAATAGGGCAATCAGTGGGGCCAAATTCCATAAAACTCCATCCGGCATTCACACTGAGAAGACCCACATGTGCCTTTAATTTATTTTTTTTTTAATTTCCTGGGCTTGCGGCCCAGAAATTGAATGGAAATTTTATTTAAACCTGCTCTTGTGTGTCAACTTTCAGTAAATATCAGGTTTTCTGTTGCCTCAGAATGAATTTTATATTTTGAGCAAAGATTGGAGAAAGGGAGCCCCAGCACATAAGGCTGCACTTCTGTATTCGACCTGTTCCAATTGTAGCGGGTTGGCTCCTGGTGCAAGTTCATTATTACTCCTGTAAATTCCAGAAAGCTCTCTTTCTGCCACGGAGACAGGATTCCAAATTTTTATTAAATCCCTTCCAGCACTAATCAGCTTTTATCAGAACATGCAAAGCAAACCTAGCTTAGAAATGGTCTTTCCCCATCCCTCACCCCCACCTCCTCCAACCCCAACCACAGGGCTTAGATTCCTCTCTGTCTCATTTAAGGCTGAATCTTCTTTCCTCCTCTCATAAGATTCTAGAGGCTGGCTCCCCCACCTTTTTAAAAATCTCTTTCTTTATCTTCCCTTTTGAAGAGTACATTCTGTATTTGCCAAGACATTTCTTTAGGAAATGTGTCAGACTTGAAAATGTTTAAAATTGGAGTAGGAGGACCTGGGTTCTAATCTAGAATTTCTTACTTCCTGTGTGATCTTAGATGAGTTATTTCACCTCCTCCTGGTTTTCTTCATCTCTAAAACAGAAAATGAGGCTAGATTAGTGCTAAATCTATGATCCTTGGAAAAAGGAAAAGCTGTCAGGTCCTCCCTTCCCATTAGCAGTCCCTGCTCTTGAGATTTTATCTTTATATGTTTTGTATTTATTTACATGTGTATGTGCTATATGCTTCAGGAGAAAGTAAGCACCTTGACAATAAAAACTTTTAAATGCTTGTCTTTATGCTTCCAGGGTTTAGAAATGCACCCTGCACATATTACGAATTTAATATGTGATTATGGAATGAATTAAATGTGGGCATCTTTGTAATAGAAATCACTTAGAGGTTGGCATATGGAGAATTTGGGTTGAAAGTTTGTTGGGCAACTTTAAGAATAAACAGGTCTTTGTTACACCCCTGGGTTGGCCAAACGGTGCCTAAATTGCAAGCAAAAAGGTAATTTATAGTACCCTCAAAACTGAAATGAACATAAACAAGCTTTCCTTACCTGTCCCATTTTTGCTACACACAGAGAATTCAAGGAGTCTAAATTTATTGCAATTTAATCCTGATGGGATGAGGCACATTATTTTTATTTATAGCTGTGGGCTTCATTCTGCCCCATCCTATGCTCACTTTTTTTTTTTAACCATAAATAATCCCCAGCCTCTTATCATACCACAGTTACTCCTAAAGGGAAATCACTTGGCGATAAAGCCCAACTTCTGTTAATCATCGTGAAAGTTGCCATTGCTGAAAAGTGACCCAGGCCATCCCAGAGCCTACTGACTAGAACGAAAACCCTTTTTCAGCCTTCCCTGCAGTGCTGTCTCTCCCTCCATTCTCCCTCTATGTGTCTCTATGTCTATCTCTCTCTGTCTCTCATTCTGAACTGTAAGAGATGAAGTTGGGGGCTGGCGTGAAGGCTACTTATTTCCCTGAGGTAAGGTACAGCTGAAGGTGCCAGGTCACAGAAATCCCCTGCCAGACAGTTGACTCTTGACTGCCCCCTTTCTTCCTCTCACCTGGGTGTATCCCTGGATTACTGGGATGAAGGGCTAAAGGGGTTGAGGTGGGGGGGGGGGGGGGGGGAGGGGAAGCCCTGTTCTGTTTATCTTCCCCCCGGGGAAGGTTTTTTGGGGGGGGGGGGGGGGGTGGGGGAACACGGTTTTTAACTCCTTGGTGGCCCGGGGCGCTTGGCCAGGTCAGGAAGGCTAGCTGCCTATCCCTACCTCTATGTACCACCTTATTTCTGCAGGGGAGGCCAGAGTCTATTCGCGCTAGCAAGTCGCAGGGGGGATCGAGGAGGCGTACTCTGCGATCGCCACTCCCTCCATTTCCCCAGATCTTCGCGTCTCCCAGTCCACCAGTTGGGCAGCCCCCAGGGAGTCAGGGGAGGCTGGAGCACAGCGAGTGACACTCCTTTGGAGGAAGCAGCGCGATTCCTCCGTTTAGTGCCCCCTCCCCTTTGCTTCTCCATCCTCCTCTCTTTCGCCTGTTTCCCCGCCCCGCTCCTCCCCTCCGATCCCTCCCCTCTTAGCTTCAGGAGCCCGAGTGACTAGGAGCGAGCTCTGTGCCGGGCAGGCTCCAGCAGCGCGGAGACCATACTCTGCGCTTTGCTGCGGAGCCGCAGGATCATCTCGGACCTGGGAAGCGCTCTGGCTGGCTGGCAGCGCAGACAGCCGGCTGGACTGGGCAGGGCAGGGCGGGGCGGGGAGGGGAGAGAAGAAAACCCGAGGGGAGAACCGAGGAGTGGAGAAGAAGAGTGCGGCACGCACACTGGACGCCGCTTGGCCTCGGCCGCAGGCTGCTTCTCCTGCTGTTGCTACTGCGCCGGTGACTGTCCACTATCCGCAAGGAGAAGGTACGTCTGTTTGTACTTCTTGGTTCTAGGCGCCCGGGGAGAGCTAGTGTTTGGGAGTGGGGTGGGGGTGGGGGTTCAAGGCTCTCAGAAGAGCAAAGGGACTGGCAAACTTTGGGAAAGGAGATGCCATCTTGCCAGACTCAAAGTTTTGGATGATGAAGGAAATGCCCTAGGCTGGTGGAGAGGTGTGGGTGGTAAGAGGTGCTGACCAGAGGCGCCTACGGCCTCGTGGAGAAAATTTCCGCACCCAGGAGGGAGGAAATTAGGGCAATGGGGAAGTGGCCTGAAACCGAATTACCTCCTGCGGCTTGATCATCTCCCGCAACTGCAGAATAGAGAAAATCTACGTATGGTCGTCCCTAACCTGAACTCCTTTGAAGAGCGGATCTAGACAGGGAAAGTTTAAGAACAAACTTATAATTCGTGCCGCTCTTGAGGGAATGGGGTGCAGAGAAACGCAGCAGGCTAGGTGGTCACTGGAGTAAGAAAAGAGGGTCCCTGGAATGTAGCTGCTGCGGCTCGCTCAGGTCCTTGACCTGACGTGTGCTTCAGAGCCCGCCAGGTCTGAGAAGATTGGTTGGGCAGACCGCTCCGGAAGGAGCTAGGTTTTCAACTCGAAACCCCCTGCCTGTTCCGTGAGGTTTTTTGGGTTGCTGGGCAGCTCTTTGCAGTGATTGCCCCAGTTCTTCCGCTCGCCTGAGGCTGCTTTTCCCCTTCTCCTAAGTGCCAGGAAAAGCAAGGAAGAAATACCAACCAGCGGCCCGATTCCAGGGAAATCACCAGCAGGGTGCTCCTTTTCAAGCTGCCAGGCGAACTGTTCCCATGCTCTTCGAGGATGCCACTCCGCATACCGAGCTCCCAGTCCCCTCTCCACCCGCCTCGTATTGTATTTGCTCATTGATTTCCAACAAGTAGAAGCGCCCAGAGAAATTATTTAATAACAAACACTGCCTGCTACGGAGAAGACGGCAGACGTGCAGTCCTGAGCCAAGGGGAGGAAATAGAGCGCGCATAGCAGGGGCTTCTAAAGGAAGAGCCAGCCAGACTGATGACATTCATAGGAGCGGGGGATGGGGTGGGGGGGGGGGGGGGCGGCAGATTAAACAGGAATAATTTAGGAGGAGACAGACTTCTGCATACTGGGGATGCATATACCCCCACAGAGATTCATATCTAAATGTATTAAGAAGAAACGGATCTGTAAATAGATTAAACACGAATTAATCAGAACCAGTGAGTCATGGGTGGCACTTCAGAGATTAGGAGAGGGAGTAATTGTCTTTGAAACAGCTATTATGTCTCAATAGCGCAAACTAATTTGGTACTTTTGCCTTGTTTACTAACAATACCTGACTTGGGCTAGAGTAGCTTGGCATATTATTTATTTATTGCTGCTCCTTTCTCTTTGCGGGTAATGGGACTGTGTAGAAAGTTGTGCCCCGCTGTTCTTTTGATCATTCACTTATTGGGTATTTTCACAAGATCGTTTTACTAACATATGTATACATGTCTATTTAAGTATCGTCCGTTATCCTTGCACATAACAGAGACAAAATCATTGTTTCAGTCATTGACCAGGGTCTCCTAATGGTTGCCTGTTTGGCGACAGGTGGTTTATGCCCCCAAAGTGGCAATCGCTACATCACAGGAACAAGGCCAATTATTATCCGCTCATGTTGCCTCCGAGAGACAATATTGTGTAGTGGTTTAGGAAATAGTAAAGGCTGGGTTCAGATCCCACTTTAGATACATAACTAGCTGTGTGACCCTGGACAAGCCTCAGTTTCATCATCTGTAAAATGAGCAGAATGGAACTGATGATCACTAAGTTACCTTTGAGGGCTAAACTGTAAGGTACATCACTTAAATATTGGCCTTCCTGTTTTAGAAGTGGACGAAATTACTTCCTCCTACATCTATTGCCTCTGTGGCCACAATCTAGTCACTTAACCACTCAGGGCTCCAGGCTGTTATCTAAGACCATACATTGTAGAGAAGGTTCCTACCTGAATTGATAATGAGACTTTATTCATTGGGACTTCCAGCTACCAGTGAAATCACAAGCTACTTCCTGTCTCTGCACTGAGGAAAAACGCCTGATTGATCTGCCAACTGCAGGACAGACAATGACAGAGGTGATGGAGGTGGGGTGTAGAAATGGGGCAGATTTGACCAGAATTCTCACATCTGGAAGACCTTAATGAAAGTGTGGGGAAAACATTACTCCCACTGCCCCACCATCCCCCCTCCAATGTATGAAATATAATCCTTCAGGAAAAGCTTAACTTCAGCTTGACTTAAGCAAAGCAATGACAATTATGAAACTCCTCTTTTAAAAAAAATTGTAATTGATGGTAGCAAAACTCAGTGGAGGGAAAAAAATTGAGAGGAGGTCCAGGCTGATGATTTGCATTTGTTTTCTGTCAAATCTGTATTCTACATATTCTTGGTTGTTACAAATTAGTAACCATGTTTTCTCAAATAACTGATTCTGCCATCCACTTTCTGATGAGCCTGCTTTGAACTATAATATCTCAAATAGATTTTTTCACTTTCACTAGTTCTCCCTTTCCTGCATTCTGCCATTTCTGCTTAAATGGCTCATACTTGGAAGTTCTCATTATCTCTTTATCTTTTGTTTTGAAACACTGGAGCTAGAATGGCTTCTTTCCAGACTCCCACATCCCTTTACTTCTATTATGCCATCCCCCAGACTGGAGACTCCAATGATGGATTCAATGTTCTGTGTTTTCTAAAAGCCATTTACCATGTTCAATTTGATTCAACAATCGGTTATTAAGCAGCACCTCAGTGAAAAGCACTGGGCTGCCTTGCTTGGGGGCACTGTTGTTAACATCATTTTAAATTGTATGAAGTTGAAAGGCTTATTGGATGTAATATGATAAATTGCTCCTGCAAGTACTTGGGCTTTGAATCTTTGGTTCAGGCATCAGTGATGGTCTAATTTCAAGCTCTCTATTGCCGTTTTGGGTTAATTCTGGCTTGCATCGAAGAGTTGGGCGTTCTTAAGAACCTCTTTTCCTTCCAGTTTCTACTTAGTACCTGTTTTCCTAAGTCTACTTAGTGCTGATTTGAGGCTTAATAACCATTTCTAGGTCCAGAATTCATATGATGCTTAAGTTGGCTTCTTGTTAAAGATGTTTGAGTTAACAAAAATCAAGGTGTTTACCTTTTGCCCCATCTGAATCCCCACCCCCCCAAAAAATTAAGATAGAACAGTTGTTTGACAGGTTGAATAGATTTTAAATCCAGGCAATGGTATGGTTTTCAGGATTATTATTTCTCTCTCCTATAACTAAAATAATAGAGGGAAAAAATCTCTAGAAAATTTGCTTCAAAAGAAATTTACTCCCTACCTAAAACTTTGTATATACCAAGTTCTAGTCCATGGTGATTTCTTCTTCTTTTATGGGTAAGTTATAAACAAGAAATAAAGGTTTGTAATAGAAGTGCTGACAGTACTTTATAGCATTCCAAGCAGGCTCGCTACTCTGCATGTAAATATTTGTAGAATCTGTATTATATAGGGAGTAATCTTGCAAAGAGAGGAACAGATACCTGTTTCATAAAGTCAGATAAAATTATTCAGTGGGCATGTGCATTCCTTACTCAAGAAATATTGGGTAACTAAATAATAGATTATGGATATTTATTGTGATGCCATAGCATTCCATCAATAGTCATAATAGTTTAGACTAAATTCACCATGGGTTATAACTTGATCTATATGGTCATTGCAGGAGAGAAATATTATATACTGTTGTCTTTGAAAGAATCTTAGCCACACTTATACCATCAAAAGGAACAAAATGCCAAGTCTACAACTAAATAGAGATTTTGATCGAATGGATGGCTACTGGCACTGGAGTTGTAATATTTAAATAAAACACAGCTTTTGAACAGTGGTAGTTCTTAACTAGTCTCTGGGACTTGGTGTGCTGAGAAAAGTTTAATAGCTGCCTCGTCTGGGGGAAAAATAAAAGGGGAGGCACATGGACATTTTTTTTATCTATATTATTATCATTTTCTTTATTACTTTTTAAAGTCTAGGCAACAAAGAAATGAATCAAACCCTGATTTGTAGTATTTGTGGATATAAATGATCACACTGAAAATTTAACAACTGTCTCCAGAACATACTTATACGAAAACTGTGGTCCCATGAAAGCCTGTGTTCATGGATTGAAGGATTTGAGTTGAAAAGGACTTTATAAGTCAGTTGGATCAAGTCATTCATCTTATAGATGAGGAAACTGAGGCACAAAGAGATTAAATGATTTGCCCAAGATAATGCAAATAGTGAGTAGAAGAGATGAACTCAAAACCCAGGTCTTAAGATTTCAAAGTCATTGCCCTATGTATTATACTCCTAGTTCTAATGCATTTAATTCTGCTGTGGTGGCATAGAATGTATCCATCCTTAAGACTTTGGGTGTTCCAGCTGTAGTAAGTTGATTAGGAGAGTTCTCCATTCAATTAGATAAGCATGAAAGGAAATAAGCCTTTGTTTCTGACTTTGATCATCTCTCCCCATGAAGGATAAGGCTGTTACCATCTGATCCATTATAGACTGATTGTAAATTGATTTGGGATGTTGACTGTTGCCATTGTGGAGCTGACAGTTATGGGCGACTCACCCTTTTATGCTGGTCTATAAAAAAGAGTCTTCATTCAAGACTGAGTTTTTAACTCCTTCTTTGCCCTCCTTTCCTTTTTTTTCTTTATAAAGGCCCCAGAATTAAAAACAAACAAAACAACAACAACAAAAAAAGTCAGAGACCATTTACTCTAACCAATACCCCAAATAGAATCCTCATTACAACATTTCATCTAGTCTCTGCTTTATATCCTTCAAGGAGGATAAACCAACTACTTGCTGATCTAAAAATGACAATTATTGTGATGGCTGATAGTAATTTGGGTAGGGTAGTGGATCTTCCACCAACCCCCTAAGCCCAAATGCTCTCATTATAATGAAA